CCACCTCCTTCATTAATCTCCTGCTTAACCGAAATAAAATCCTGGTTCACCTCCAACTTTCTTAAACTGAATAATGACAAGACCGAAATCCTCTTAGTGGGAACAAAATCTACTTTATCCAAAGCTGACAGTTTCTCCCTTTCATTTGACAACTCCATAATTTCCCCCTCACCTCAGGTCAAGAGTCTGGGTGTCATCCTTGATAGTACCTTGTCCTTCTCCTCTCACATTAACAACCTTACCCGTTCCGCTTACTTTCACTTACGCAATATCAATCGCCTTCGCCCCTCTCTCTCCACTAGCTCCACCTGCACTCTTGTTCATAGTCTGGTCACTTCCCGCATTGATTACTGTAATTCTCTTCTTTTCGGTCTTCCTCAAAAATCCATTCACAGGCTTCAGTCAGTACAAAACTCAGCAGCTCGCATCATTTCTAGAACCCCTTCTTTTCATCACATCACCCCAGTCCTGCAGCAGCTCCACTGGCTACCTGTGAAGTATAGAATTCAGTTCAAAATCCTCCTACTTACTTTTAAAGTTATTCACAATCTCTCCCCTCCATACCTTTCTGATTTACTTCAAATTTCTACTCCCTCCCGCATTCTTAGATCTTCTTCTACCACTCACTTAGTTGTTCCTTCAGCCCGTCTTAAAACCATGGGGAGCAGAGCTTTTTCACGTTCCGCGCCCACACTCTGGAATTCTCTCCCCTCTGACATCTGCAATACCGAGTCTTTACCCGTATTCAAATCCAAACTCAAAACCCACATGTTCAAGATTGCCTTTTCATTATGATTTTATATTACTTTCCTTTGTGTAATTTGTGTTGTTTCTTTTAATTATGACGACTGTTTTTTACCATTTATTGTTTTTACATGTACAGTGACCTTGAGTGTTTTGAAAGGCGCTTGAAATAAAATGTATTATTATTATTATCATTATACATATATATATATATACATATATATACATATATATATATATATATATATATATATATATATATATATATATATATATATATATATATATATATATATATATACTGTACATATATATACATATATATATGTGTATATATATATATATATATATATATATACATATATATACCGTAAATTCTCTAATATAGGCCCGGGCCTTTATTTCACTCAAGTGCATCGCGGTCCAGGCCTTTATTGGATAGAGGCCAGAATTAGAGACAGGCCTCTATTGCTATTTGAGCAAAACAGACTACCAGTGGAATGAATAAAAATGAGATTTTGTGTCTATTTGAACCTATAAAACACTAGGTTCATTTATTGAAAATGTACAGTTACCATGTCTCGCTTGGTTTGAAGTAAAAAAAAAAAATAAAATCCTCCAATTCTGTTTAATTCTCCTCCTCAGTTTTTCTCCTCCTCTTCATCTCTCCCTTTAATCTCCTCATCACTCGCGCTCCTCCTGTTCTGCTGCGTGTCTGTTCTCTTCCTCGCGCAGACGGGCAGCAGTCAGGGCCTGTCGTCCAGCTGCGCAGGGCTGTGGTACTTGTATGTTACTTACTACCACAAGTATAATGTTGAGGTATGCCCAGAAAAAACGTTTATAGCCCCGGCCTGTATTAGAGACCGGCCATTATTTACCTCCTCTGACAGCGAGACCGGCCAATGTTAGAGTCCCGGCCGCTATTGGAATACAAGCCAATATTAGAGAATTTACGGTATATATATATATATGTATATATATGTATTGATGCTTTCAGTTGAAAGTGGGTCAAAAGAGAGGAGAATGTTGCTGTGAATGTTCAGGATGCTGTGAATGTTCAGGATGTTAGCATCCTGAGCAACATGAGTTCAATCTAATTTAGCTTATATTATAAAATTAAATCACTTAGAAACATTGATAAAGAAGCAGTTTAGAAATAGCTGATTATCTTCATCATGTTTATTTTAATTTCACCAATATCAGCTTAAAGTACTGGTCAACGTTTTGCATATGCTTTTCAAATACTCTACTCGTTTTCCAGTTGAATTTATAAAAATTGTTTATTGCTTGTTTTAAAAACACTATCAGGTCTTTTAGAACAAGACGTGCCTCACCTTGAAATTTCTTGTTTCAAATGTCATGTCTGATGATTTTTTTCAGTTGTGTTTACAGATATTGTTAAAAATCTTTGTAAGGAGTATAACCAACAAATGTATATAAATTAAAAGAGTATTGCCAATATACTGAGGAAGCCAGTGCGTTTAATTTTCCCTGGTCTTGCTTTTAATCTCTGGGAGTTATTCCTCCTTTTTGTTTCGTCTGTTTGATGGCCTTGATGAAGACTGAAGATGAGGTATTTTGGGGTTGCTTGCACTTTGATGGAAGAAACCACCTAGAGCCTGTTTTCTAATGAACATTTGACTTTGTCAGGGCCGCCTTTGGTCACTAGCCAGTTATGGTCACCAAACCAGTTATGTTTGTGGCGTCCATGGACCGTCACAGACCAGGGATAGTCAGAGACTAGAGGAACTTTGGTTTACAATTATCAGGGTCTCATTTTCACTTGTTGCTGATGATGTGGTTAAGTTGACTCAAAGCCATGGTCCTTAAGGCTCAGTTATGCTTGAAGCATAGGGAAAACCCACTCCTTATGGCTTTTCCCTTGCACCTAATATTCTGGTTGACTCTAGGGAGGGAGGTAACAGCACAAACCACAAGCTTAAAACACTTAAAACACACTGATTTCTTTCTAATAGTTTTTGACAATTTGCTGATATTCATGGTCTAAATCTTGAGATGTCTCTAGATGTTTATGTTTACAAACCCTTTGCAAGGAGGAACTGACACTTTTCCACCATGTCTGCAAGGTTAGTTGCTTTTATTTTTATTTTTAAACAAAGTTCTGTATTTAATGGCAGGAAAAAATATTGCTTTTTATTATCATTGTTGGGAAAATTCTGTACAATTATTACATATTACTACAGCACTGACAGAAAACTTATTTGTTATCATACTTACATTAGCTGGTTTTTATTATTTTTCAACCAACGTTAATAAAAGCTACTCTGGAAGGTCCATAGAGCCACTTAAATCTGCAGGTTTCTTGCCTGTGGTTAAGCACTAAAACTGCTTAAATGAAAAAAAAAATTAACATAACTACTTTAAAAGAATCTCTCTCTTTCCTCTATTTTTAAATATAGATATAACTTAAATAAATTGTTATATGAAGTATATGTTAACAATGTTGAAATGTATCTTAACATTGGCATCAGCTGATGACTAGTTTAATTTGAACATTAATAAACAGCTAGTTTTACATAACATATATTTCCAGTACAATCTTTGATCCCTTTCTGGTTGTGATGTTGATTTCTTTATATCCAAGTTATTTTGAGCTCACTGTACCTGAGCTTTACAATGACTTGTGCATTGGTTATTTCTGTATCCTAGTAGGGTAGTTGATTTGCTGGTTTTCAAGTTTTTTTGCCTAACAGTTGGTTTCTCCAACTGCATGTTTGACAGTAAAGAAGGATAAAAGTGATCATTGTGAAATCTTTCAACTTTATTGAACCCGTAGATCAGCATAAGTTCTTCCTTCATCATCTTAAATTTTCAAATAAACTTTAGAGTAAGTTAGGTAGCAAACACTCTGAGTTTCAGAGCTTATTTCGTAACATCTGTCAGAGCTGCCTTCAAAAGCATCACAGAAAACTAGTGCAATAAACACAGAATGCAAGAATTTAAAAGCAAGTTCAGACCAGCTACATGCAGTACTGAAGACAGACGATGCTATAACTGTACATACACTTGTCAGAGGCACTGCCTGCTCCATAAAGCACAAGCAAAGATACTGAGATAGAGCATGTGCTGACTTTGTGTTACCAGTGGGAAGATACAAAGTGCTTCTACAGAGAAAGGATGATGAAGGCGCTGTTTGTTTCCGTGCAAGGCAAAGCCGAATTGTTAGACACAGCAGTGCAGAGAGCCCAAGTTGGAGTGAAAATACTGTGTTGGCAGAACTACTGACCCCAATACTGCTCTCAAATCTTAGAGGGATAATAAAATCCCAATCCTTCCTTGGCTACTTATGCAGTTTTACACATATGTAAAGGCTCAGAAAATAACTTGCATATTCTCCACCTATGCACAGGCTTAAAACATGCTTTTCTGGCTGCTGAGTTTTATGCATTAGGATACATGCACGCGCTCAAACACGGGCACACTTCATTCTTATTCCAAGGCCATGCATTGGGTAAATTCCGACCCTCTTTAGTCCCACGAGTTGTCTCTATCCTCTCTGCTCCTTGCGCCTTGTATTTGACAGGTCTAGACAGGGAAAAAACAGACTTTCCATCTTTGCCAGGAAGGCAAAGACTTTGTAAAGTCAACCTTTTGTTTTGAGGCTTATGCCCTGAATAACAACAAGTTCCTGGAAATTTGATCAGGCCGATCTATTTTTTATTCCTTAATACACACTATCTGTATGTGTCCACGTAGATCTGCTTATTTATATTCATCCATCTTGCAGAGTTTGTGTGTGATGGGACTTTTAGTGAATAAGTGATGTCTTTCTTACATAAGCCGGCATGTTTTTCAGACTGAGTATTTTGCCTCCAATGATTTAACCACAGCAAGCAGTGGTCAGCAGCGCAGTGACGGTTTGTAATTAGGGGTCAATTAGGGTCAATTGGATCGATATCACTGGAGCAGGAGAGTCTTCTGCAGAGTGTGTAATCCCTTATCAGTGGGTTGCAGAGTCTGTTGGTTTAGGTAATGATGTATGTGTTTACAAAGTGCATCGGAGCATGGTTAATCTAATCCTCCCTATAAATGACGAGCAAACATGACAGCCTCAAATTCAGGGAATCAGAGGTGTAGAAAACTTCATCTAGCATACTTTCCTATCTAGTTTTCTCACAGATTAGTGGTCTTCAATTAATCCCTCGCTGTCTCTGTCTCCCCCTGCTCTCCTTCTTCTTCTTGTTATGTTTGTGTGTGTGTGTGTGTGTATGTATGTATGTGCGTTGGTGGTAAAGGACAGATCCTCCAGCCCTGGATGCATTCATCATGGATAAAGCCCTGCTTGACTTTGAGGTCTCCATCGATGCGGACTGCAAGCTGCTCACAGTGGGGAAGCCTTTTGCTATAGAAGGTACACACGCTGACAGACCCACACACTTGTTTATATGATGTTTTTAAAGGGATTTTTATTGACTTGCAGTCATGCACCCCTGGAGAGGATTTTTTTTTTATAAGTTTTTTCTGGCTTTGTTTTGGTCTTTTATTTTCCAAATCAGTTATTAGTGGTATGGCTTAAAAAAGCAAACTTCTTGTCTAAACCTTATTTATACTAAATGATTGATCCTAATAAAGGCATTTTTTGATAGCTTGTAATCATTAAATAATTAAACCAGTGGAAACTTTCTTTTTGTACACATGACTTCAGGGTACCCTTATTAAAAAAGGACTGCTTTGACTGCAGCATCTCCTAAGTATGACTAAAACATCTAAACTCTTACATTTAGTTTTCATTGTTCAGTTTTATGTTTTTCCATCTGCTGTGCAAATCATATAACACTTAAAGCAGTTATATTCATATTATAAACGCTCTGAGTTGGTTAATTGTGGTTTTCCAATGTTCTTTTTTAAGGCTTGAAAAAATAAACAGCAACAACTTCACTGATTTTCCAAAATAAGAACAATTTACAAATAAAAATTTATTTTTGTGAGGGTTGGTGGATGTTCTTGTGGACCCAGATGCAGAGTAAACGAGGCAGAGATGATTTCTTGTAGATTTAATGAAAATGTTGATAGAACAAAAGCAAGTAATCCAGAAATAACAGGCGGGGAACAGAGAAATCAAAAACTAGGGGACACTCAGAAAAACTAAAATAAGGAGTAAAGTAATAAAGAGAATCCAGCACTGAGGAACTGCAAAGGAGGTATATATATGGGAGACGGAACAAAGAATGGGCTAATTAGCTGATAGGGAGCAGGTGTGGATAGAAGTAATTAGAAAGGAGCTAGGGGGAAAGGAGACTGGCACAAGGGGGGCAACAGAGAGTAAATTAAAAAAATACAACACTGCTTAAATATAACACAAAATGGAAAAGAAACCAATGACCAAGAAAACAAAGAATGGCAAAAATCAAAGTGAACTGAAAACTTAAAAAGAAACTAAAACAAGAATTCCACAAAGGGGAAAATCATGACAATATTATTTATTCTTAAATCAACCCATGCTGTGATTTATACTTATATGCTTAGATGTATATATAAGTGGGCTTCCATAAAGCGTTTTAGAAAATATCATGAAAACAGGATTGGTCTGGAATATTTTAAGAAGTTTTAAGCATGTCTCCTCCGTAGGGTGGACTATCAGTCATAGGTAAAAAGAAGAAAGAGCTGTGTCAGCTATAGGGGACTGGGAGTAGGGCTTGTCATTAACTGCACGATCCCTACTTTTAGCTCATTTCCACTTGTGCAATCAGAAATTTCTCCAGGTCTCCATTAGATAATATAATAAGGGTACCAAAAAAATCTGTTTCTCTACTTAAATAGTCATCTTAATCATGCTGAATAAAATAATTCTTGCAAAGACCTGCTGGAAAAATAGATGTGTTTACATTATTTCTGTTGTATCATGGGACATGCTCAAAAATATGATATCACTGTTTTTATCTGTTTTGTATTTTTGTTGTTCTTTAGATAATGTGCTATATACTACACAGGTTCAATTAATATAAAGGAATAAAAATTATTGCAATTATTTACAAATCCAAAGGCAAATTATTTGCACCTAAACTAGGGATTACATACCCAAGACACATCCTGACAAATATACTGTATGACTAAAAGGATGTAAATGCATTTATTCTTTTAGCAAAGGTGTTAATAGTCTTTTACACAATGCAGTTTCATACCATTTTAAAATAAGTGATAGAAATATCTAGAAATATAAATATGGAATAAAAATATAAATATAGAAACAAGTAGTTATGCTTGTGCAAATGAGCTCATGGTATGGATCATGCTACAGTACAAGTACAGAGCAGATAGTGACAGGGCCAACCCCCCTCAACATCAAAAGAAGAATATTGAAGTTCTCGGCCATTTGTCCAGAATGCCTCAAGCTTTTTAGTTTGTCTTGGTATGTCCCTCTGAGAAGAGACTCCAAGGCAAGCCTACATTAAGTTGGAAAGATGTACTATCCTAACGAGCAACATTTTGAACCTCAAATGAAATCAATCTTTGCCCACATGGACAAACTAAATGCCCTCTATTGAACTGCTTCATGACCAGAAAAAAAAAATTGGGTTATTTAGCAACAATTGCAAGACTTTTAAACCAGAGTCAATGTGGCCAAGTGTGCGATAATTATTGTATGATGTATGATCAACAATTCAAAAAAACGTACAATAATTTGACCATTTTGACCAATTTGAATATGTGGTTTAAATCACTGTTCATCAGAATGTCGCAAATTTCTGTAGTAGTTTTTCTGTGAACGCTGAAGGTATCTGTGTCTGGGTATGGAAACAGATGCCAAACAGTTGTCAAATGTAACCGGCAAGTGAAGAGTATGAGTTTGCCTCAGAACACCAGCCATGATTGGCTTAGTAGTCTGCTGCGCTGTCCATTAGTGAGGAAAAGGAAAAAAAAGAGGAAGAAACAGAGCCTGCCACTACCCGATCCATATCAGTAGCATGATCTATACCATCAGCTCATTTGCACATGTACAACCAGATATAGTTCCGGGTTTCCCTCAAATTGCCTTTGAAAAAAACCTAATTATGTTTTTCCTCTTACTAATAATAGTAAGTGTATTAAACTATAATGTGTCAAATGTTAATAATGTATTTACCTAGAAAAAAAATGCATTAAAATCTTTTCTGTTTTATCACTCGTCTGTGCCCAATCTGTGCCAGAAATGCCATCCAGGACCTTCAGGAGTTGGAGGAACTTTTTCTGCTTTGTATTCAAACATAAATCTAGTCTTTTTGAGTTTTTTTTTTTTCCTTTTGTGTTAACATTATAGTATATAGTGCCTAACCTAAATAAAGAAACAACTAAAATATCCCCTAATCTGATGATGACGTCAGAGAGGCTGTTAACCGGACATAATATAAAAAGCATCAACAGAAAAGTAATACATTTTTTTAAAAAGATGTTTTTTGCCATTCTTTTGTGATTTAAGGAAATAAGAACTTTTAGTACCATAATTACATTATGTATGGCGACCTGGATGTATATCTGTGCACAAATGAGCTGATGGTACGGATTGTGCTACCGGTACGGATCGGTTTGTAACAGAACCTATTACAGAGCCAGGCTGGAAAAAGAAATGAAAATAAGTGAATAAACGGAAGGGAAAGACGGAGGAAAGGTTAAGAAGACAGCAGGGCAGAGTCAGAGTATGCAGCAATAACCACTGAGCTATCGGAAAGAGAGGAAAAGTCTAATCGTATGGTTGAGACTTGTTGCTGGTTCGGAGAGCAAAGCTGTCTGCCAGTGCTGCACCACAGATCTTGCAGCCGAAGTAACAATAAAAAAAAAACACAACAAAAACACATCAAATAAAAAAAACACACAGAGAAAGTAAAAAAATGTAAATGTTAACAAAACAAGGAAAACAAAGGACAGACAAAGGAAGGGGAGTCTTTACATAAAAACATTGTTTAAAGGAGATTGTGTTTTTTTTTTATTCAAATCTCCATTTTTGGCTATGAAAGTTTTCATGTTACAAAGATTACTTGTTTATAGATAATTTATTAAGCAAACATTACACATTATGCGCCTATGGGTCTGCTGATGTATCCATTTGTTGCTGACGCCACAAAGCTGTTAGCGCTTGTTAGACGCTATGCAACACCAAAGTGACTGTAGCATATATATAAAATTGCTATTTTGGTTATGACAAGAGTATGATCATTTCCTGATAATTTGATATCTCTAGTATGATAATCCTACATTTGTTATTTGGCACACTCCTAATGCAGTCATGGCATTATTATACTGAGGGTTGTTTTTTGCGACCTTTGATGCGGAGGGCACAAAGTTACACAATAAAGATATAAAAATAATCAATAGCTATTTTTTTGGTTATTACTATTAGGCTTTTGGAAAAGCTCAACATCAGCCAAAGTATAATTTTTGATTAACTCTAGACCGCACAATTATAAACATGTTCTTCTACTTATTTCCATTAAAATCTATTGAAGCTGTTTGCTGTAAGACCTGTCTGCCTCAAAAACAGTTAAAGTTTATTTCAAACCTTATGAAAAACGATTCCGTCGCTGTAAAGATGGCAAATAAGTATCCACATTTTAAAAGATATTTCTATCTCAAAGTAAAATCAGTTATGTGCAGCAAACTCACACAAAGATCAAAATCAAATGCTGTAGTTAGCAACATGACTGACAGGATAACAAGTGCGTGAGCTTATAATGCCCCAGGGCACTCAACCATCTAATATTAATCAGGCAACGTTCGGCAAGAAGACTTTGGACTTAATGATTTCTACTTTGACTAAAGGAAAACTAGCCACGAGGTCCATAAACAAATCCATCGCCAGACAGGAAATGCCTAATGACCCACTCAGGGGTTTAGTGTATGCAACTTCTTCCAGTGGACCACATGCATGTGTGAACGTGTATACGTTAGTCACTTTTGGTGTTACTGTGTGTTCCAGTGCCATTCTAGCTTGACGGAGAGCATTTTCCTTTGAGACTTCAGGGGGGAGGACATTTTTCACAGGCGAGGTCATTGCTTTTGTTCTATTTGACAATCGCAATGTGCTTCCTGGCATGAATATTAAAAAAGACCCTTAAATATAACCCATTTCCTTTCAATAACCATTTTATACAACTGTCTTATGACTATGGCAATAAAAGTACTGCTTTCTCCCTTCTTTTTATGTCCTCCAACTACAAATTTTATAATAACCAACACTGTATTTAAAGTAGGGGGTACTACTGCAGGAACTTTCTCAATGAGACGGGTTCGTTTTCTGGGAGTATATTTAATGATGTGTGGGGGTTTAAGGGCAGGTTCAAAGGTCAAATCAGATTAGCAGGACGGAAAATTAACCTAGAACTCCTGCATGGTAGAAAGGTACAGTGGAAGGTTTGAATCCAGGCTGATCTATTGGGG